GCACTGGCTAAGAACTCTGCTGTAGTGGGTCGGCACCATGATATTTAGACAGAGAATGTGAAAAGGCAGTCTGCCCCACTAATCCAAACCAATTCCAGCAATTTTTCAAATTGCCAAGATTTTTAACAAATCAGCCTGGATTTTGACAGAGGATTGAAATCAACAACAAAGAATCAGGGCACCACAAAATCAAATACCACCCCTTTGATGCACACGAAAGGAAGCTCCTCATAGTGTCTGTACAGAGACAAATTGGACCAGCGTTGGCGGTTACTGTCATGTCAACTCACCTATTCTTTTGGGTAAAATGACTCCATAGACTTCTCTTGCTCATGTCAAGAACATTTCTGGGCCAAGTTCCTGCAATCATATTAAACGGTACTTTTAGCGCTCATCAACTTTTAATTACATATAATTAACTCATACAATACACTTTTAAATACCTCTCCCCCCATGCGTCTCTAAATGACTATTGTCTTTCAAATAACTAATTTTGGTACTGTATTAAACATTAAGTACGAAGGGGCAGCTGCAAATTATCTGCAACGCACATTGATTGATTGTTTGAGGGATTGCGCAAATAGTACCACTCGGTTTGCACCCCAATCAGAAAGTAATAAATTTTTCTGTTCCACGAGAATAAAATAGAGTAAAATATATGATATGTGATAGAACACTGGCAGGTTCATCCATTTGCATAAGGACCTACAACAGTATTATGCATCCTGCATAGATTGGAGGAGTCTACCCATTCAACACCTTTTCAACAAAGCTGACAGTGAGCCAAGTTATTTACACCACGGGCATCATTTACTCGGCCTCAAAAAATAACTTACAACTTAATTGTGCGTGTGAAAATTGAGCCACAGGAGCATAACCTCCTAACAATAACCGGAATGGAACAATTCAATATTCCGGACCGGAAACAAGTAAGCACTATACCTTGCGATTAATAACGAAAAGCGGCGATGTCCATTCTAAAATTCTGGTTAAAATCTTATGATCAATAATTATATGAGTAGGTATTATCGGTATTTGGCAGAAACGCCGATCGTGACACCTGGCTGTTTACGTTTCCATAAAGGCGCGGGAAATGCGCGGTGGGGGGGTGGGGAGGAGGAGAGGGGTAGGGGACGCGGCACGGCAAAGAGGGAGAGCAATAATTACGGCATACTCACCGACATATCGTGGTCGCGGGATGTGATTCTTTCCTGGGGTAGGCTATCCCGCCTCGCTTGTCCAGGATGTGATCCTTTGGGGATGCTTCGCTTCCCGTCCCGTGCATCGTTGTGTGGCTCCAGGCGGCAACGCCAGGGAAGTGCCATGTGACAAGAATGAAATGACCTGGATAATAAACTATTATGGGGCGATTTGCTATTAATAATAATTATATTTGGTGCCTTTTAAGAAATATGCACCAGCCGGGGGTACACGACGTTTGGAGCCGAATCGTATTTGTCGTGGGAAGGGTGGGAAGGGGTCATCGGCGTTTGCTCGGGAGGTCCCCAATGACGTCCCCGGGGGCCTGGACGACATCGGCACTACCAGATTTGGACTCAGCGTGCGAGAAAACCCCCGAACACGATATTTCAGTCGTCCTGGTCGTTCCAAGGTTGACGGTCGGTCGGTCGGTCGGTCGGTCGGTCGGTCGGCCAAACCGTATCTTATTTTGACAGCCCCACGGCAGGGACGGGTCTGTGTGGTGCAGTCCGTGCTGCGCCTCTACGCGCCGTCAGCCCACAAGGCCCCGGTGTATGTTTCGTGGCCTAACGACCTAGGCGCAAGCGAGACGAGTGGGCCGAGCCGGACCGGGGCGGGGGGCCATGTGGTCTGCGCCGCTGCCCGCTCACTTCAACGTTCCCCTCCCCCCCCCCCCGCAACACCAATCGCACAGAGAAAAGGGGAAGCACCCTTGCCCCTGCTCCTCCCCCATTTCCACGCAGCAAAGGCAGGGCGAACACTGTTCACTGTCGAATTCCCTAGAGTAGCGGAAAGAAACGGCACCACTACAAACACAGAAATAAATACGCTTCATTTTGCATTTCGGTAAATGATATGGCCTCGCGTTGGGAGTTGCAGAGTTGCAGAGATATTGGTCGGGCTGGTCGTGAGGCGCAAGAGGCGTCCTTGACATTGGGAGGGGACTGGAATCCGTTAGCGCCGTGCCCCGTGCCGCGCGGTTTTGTGCCCGCTTCGCCCCGCCCCCACTCTGTGTCCCAATGCTCATAGCGCACACGCGAGCCGCAGCGCGGGGCAGCGCGGGGCAGCGCGGGGCAGCGCGGGGCAGCGCGGGGCAGCGTGGGGCAGCGCGGGGGAACGCGTGGCCCGGGTAGTAGAGACCAGTTCCTGGAGCAGGAGGAGCAGAGATGAGGCGGAGAGGAGGGCGACGCGGGCCGCGCTGCTGCCGCGCTCCCTGCCCTCCTGCTCCGCTCAGCTGTGGAGCTGCGCTGCGCCCGGCGCCGCCCCGCCGCCCCGCCCGGCTCGCTAGCCACAGCGAGCTGAGCCTCTCATCGCACACTCGCGCCCGCGACCACTCGCGCCGGGACTGCGCCAGCCGCCGCGCCGGTGAGTTCGTCCGCACCTCCCCGAGTCCTGCTAAGCACACAGCACCTCAGCGCCTCGAGGGAGTGCCCCAAACGGCCGCGCCGGCAGCACTTCCCAAACCTGGATTTCACCGCAAGAGCAGCAGCGGCGTCGGCGCCCAACGGCCCGTCGACGACCATCGCCGACGCCGCCGCCGCCGTGACAGGGCGTCCCGAGGCTGCCGCAGGGCGTCCCGACGCTGCCGCCCAGCCGATGCACTCCGCTCCCGCCCCGGGTCCGCACGCCTCCCTCGCACACCTGCTGACGCCCGACACAGGTGAGTGGCCTGGCCCGGCTGCGGCCCGCGGCCCGCGGCCCGGCGCCGTCACGCAGGCGTGTGGATCCAGCTGTGTGACGGACTGTCACGCCCTCCTCATCGCAAGCAAACCATGAATCATGAAAAAGTTTCCACCAAAAAAAATAAAAAATAATAGTGAGATTTTAACTACATTGGGCGTTGACGTCAATGAATCCATCTTAAGTCAGAATGAACAAGCAAGCAGTATGTGTACCGGATTTACAAAGTTCCCGCGTCGGCTCTGGGATGGAGTGAGTCGACGGCTCTTTGATCTCATGAGACCAATAGGAAAAATCAAAGCAAAGGGCAGAGCACTGTTAAATCCTTACAAGCGAATTATAGTTTGTAGGCTGCAAAGCATTTGGTACATCTGTAATACAAATAATTCAATTTTTAATGTAAAACACAGAAAATGCTTCTCATAGCAAAGCTTTTTTTTTTGCGAAGTATTTCCTTTTTAATTGCACAGCTTTGGTTCGCGAGGTTTTTTAAATGTTAGTATTATATGGATGATGGTACAGAACGCTCATTCCCACGAGTCGACCAGCGACCACGAACTTGGCTTTGGGGGCATGACAATGCGGATGCGAAAACGAAATAAACGATCAAGACCCACTGCCATGCTGCTAGTCGGTTGTCGACGCCTCGTGATTTGAGGTTGAGCCTGCGTGTGGGTCCTCGACGGCTGCGCATGGGAGCGTAACTACAGTCATTGGTCCCTGCCACCGCCGCGACCGCGGCGGACCCCGGTTTTAGGCTATCATGGAGCGGTCGAGCGCCGCCCCATCACGGCCCTGGACTCGCGGTGCGGCTGTTCGCCAAACTCTGACGCTTATTTGATCATCGCACGCTCACTATTACTGCACATCAAAGCTATCGCCGGCCGGTCGGATCTGCAGTTGGCCGGGAGGGAGCAGGCTTCTCACTACTTGTCTGGAATCGTGTGTGGACTCCTGCGGTAACCGGGTTCTCCTCGCGCGGCCCGACAGCGCCGCCGGGCTGCTACGCCGCGCTTCCCGTGGCGGGCCGACACGTGCGAATGGGTCGCGGGCAGACGAGTCGAGGGCCCGCGAGCCGCGCCGCTGATATAGATCAGTAGCGAGCTCGATAAGATCTGCAATGTTAACCGTCGAGAGGAGGGATATCATGGTCACCGAAGAATAAGTTCCAGGCCACCATTAGAGCTTACAGTACCGGGTGATTCAGGAAAGACGCAGGTGCGGACGGGTTTGCCGCGGTTTGCCTTTCTCGCTCTGCCCGTTAGGGGCCATGGCTCCTTAGGTAGGCAAACTCAAACGCACCTTGCGTCTTCTCAGGAAACTCATGAAAATTTCGCCCCGGAGTGGAGAGGGGGGGGGGGGGAGTACAAATAGCATGGGTCCCTAATTCCAATGGTGGTCCTGAACCTACTTCTGAGCCCAGGATAATCCTACCCTTCCCCCCACCAATCCCATCGGGGATCATCCGGAAAGTACGTCTGCCATTGGTCGTAAGGGGCCGTTCACAATTTACGTCAGGTTTTTCAGGTCCAAGATTTTTTTTACCCCACGGCCCTATTGTCACGGTAAGTCACAATTTTGACTCACCCCCCTCTCCTCTAAGACGTCACATTTTCTCATATTGACTACCCAGATGGCGCGCCTCGTTCAAAAATAGTGATTCGGAAAGGCGCGGAGTGAGTGACGGTGTGACCCTCTCTACCCCCGTTGTCACAACTGGTCACAGATTCGCCTACCCCGCTAAAAAGTGTGACGTAATACGTGAATGGCCTCTAACGAAACTGCCAAGTTCAGCCTGTGCAAGCTCTCAGAGCGCCTGTTAGGTAGACAACACATCTTGTCTGCAGTGCATGCATGTGATGCGGGGTGGCCTACCCTGCGCATTGCAGGCGCCAAGCTTCCGTGACATAACTGAAGAATTTGAGAAAAATGGACATCGTTTTCCTTGGGAAGCGACATATACTGCATGATCCCTGCAGAGCGTACATTCTGATAGTTAGAATGAGGCGTGGCTAAGCGCACCATCTCATTGAGGCCGCCTCGGCCCCGCCCGTCCCGGCCCTGCACGGAAAAAAAGATTAGTTTCCCCGACGAAGCGTTAGTTGATTTTCGGACAACTAACTGGTGTCAGCTCCAGAAACCAACATTTAGTCGGGGAAACGACGTCGTTGTCGGGAGAGCGAACGCGTTCCTTCCGTGGGCAAACCAAGGGTTAGTTCCTCTTGCAACGGCCTCGTTCTCGCTACGAAATGTTAGTTGACACAACCAAATACTGGTTTCTGCTACTGTTTCGGTTGGGGAAACTAACTTTTTTTTCGCGTGGGCCCTAGAGGTCGGTGCGGTGTGGGCGAGGTACTCGGCTAATGACCTCCCGTGTCGGGTCCGAGCCACTTCCATCACGACTAACACAACCACGTCTGTTTGTTTGTTCCTACCCCTCACCCCCCTCTTCCCCTCCTCGTCCCGGAGGCCAGGAACTGGCCGAACTACCGGGCAGGGCTCCTGCGCCTGCGAGGCAGGCCGACCAGCCAACAGCTCGTTATTCACAGGCGAGGTGTTCCAGGCTCCAGGCGCCCCAGGCGTGGGCCGCCGTGTTCAGACGGGGATACTACTCCCATGAATAGATTACAGCGACCGCTGCACTCCTGCGGGCCTGCGGGCTTCAGTTTCCAAATACACGGGTTATTTAAAAGAACGGTCTTCCGGTGGACTGAGCAGAGCGAAGCCATCCAGAAGTCAACATCAGCTCGAATTTAGTTTTCCGTACTTCTATAACTCTTCTGCTATCGTTTCTTTTCGCCATGTGTTTAGCGTCCGAGGTGAGCATGCCGGGAGACGTCAACGTGGACGTGGACGTGCTGGTGCGCGGCGCGCGCGGGGGCAGCCCGGGCGCGGGCGCGCTCGTGCTGACGGCGCGGCGCCGCGACGGCAGGGACTCGGCGCTCAGGACGACGCCGTCGGACGCGCTGGCCACGGCGCACCTCGCGCTGCAGCAGTGGAGGTGAGGAGACTGGGGTGGGCGACGGGCGGTGGCGCGGCGTTATTGGACGAGAACGGCTGGGCCTCTAAACACTACCGTCCAGCGCTCTCGCAGGGAAGCCCTCCGTCGAGATCCGCGACGACCTCCAGGACGACGACGACGACGACGTCGACGACGAGGACAACGATGACGGTGACGGTGACCACGGCGGCGGCCAGTTCCAAGACGGCAGCGGGCCGGGACCTCCGGAAGACACTGCCAGCGGCGAAGGCGGATGCAAGGGGTGAGTCACGGTTCCTGCCCTATGGTCTGTGTGCGGAGGGGGGGGGGCAGCCGGTTTTGCCTCGCAGTGTCCGTCGACCAGCAAATCGTTCCCGCGCCTTTGCCGCCGTCAGCAGGTCATGCTCGTCTGCAGCATCGCGCGCGGAATGCGAAAACACGGGGCGCGCAAAGGCGCAGGGCGTAGGCATGGTGGCCTGGCCCACGCGCTCCTTGATCACCCGTTGAAAAGGTAATCGGACCGGCTCGGCTGGGCCACCCTGCGCCGCACGGCGCAAGTCCAGGACGCTCAAGGTTCTCAAATCAACACCCAGAGAACCATTTAGTTGATACAACTAAATCAGGGTTGTAAGAACCAAAATTTAGTTCCTAAAACCGACTAAAATTTAGTAACCCTATTTTTAACTAAATATAGTCGCACCAATCAAATTAAGTCATCTAGACCAAATTATTTCATCACCACGAATAAAATTTTAGTCCCAAGAGCTAAAATTTCGTCGGTTTTGAATTTGGTTATATGGACTAAACGGTCTTCTGGGTGAAACACCGATATGATGACGCGGGTAACGCGCTCGTTGCGGTGCCTATCCCACCACGCCTCCTGGCGGCCTGGTGTGTTTCCCCTTCGGCGCAAAGCACGTTCCACGTTTTAGGCGTGTCTGGCTCACTCACTGAAAAAATTTTTTCTCTCGATAACAAAAGGGGAGCCGCGGAAGAACAAAGCGGGAGCTCAAAGGACTTCCCTGTCAAAGGCTTCAGACGTATTCAGTCGCAACCACGGCAGCTAGTGGCGTATTTGTTTGAGCCGACGAGCGCAATGGAAATGGGCGAACGGTCTGCTCTAGCTGGGCACCACTGGGCACCTTTGCTTTGAGCCTATGAACTAAACTGGGCGGCTTGAGTCAGCATGCTGGAGCGCCGTGGGGGTAGGCATCGGGGACACACAAGTGCTCTGCGGCCCGGCCCGGTGCCTACCCCCCCAGGCGTCGGGCCCGTCTCAAACTCGACGAGAAATCTTTTGACACCCATTTCAGCCTCATGATCGTCACTGTCATCTCCGTCCAGTACGTTAAGATAGTCGTGCTGATGGGATTGGCCCTGCCCGTCTGCGGGGTCCTCACGTTTGATACACCGCAATCTTTTGAGGTGAGAGTAGGGTCCTGAGATAAATGAGAGTACGACGACTACGCAACACGTCAAAAATTAAAATAATGATGTCGTTTCCTTAGGCGTTCTACTTATACCTGTACCTGGTCAGCTTGCTCTTCATGATGTACTTGTACATCGTGTCAGCCTGGCGTCACAGGAGCAAAGTGACGGTTAAGAGAAAGAGAGGTAAAGCTGCGCTGGTTGCAGATGCAAGGCAAACTTGGCACATTTGTGATACCATTAGTTGGTTTATCTCATCTTCAGAAGTTTTATAATTTTGTGATGCTATGCCACGTCAAGGTAATCGCGGAATGCGGTATCGGCTGAAATTGCTGAAACAGACTCGAGCTGTTGAGACGGTGAGGTACGGCAGTGTGTATCTGAGACTAGCCATGAGTGGTATGTAGAGAAATCACAAAACTAGAGTATAAACTTTCTTGAGGTGTTCTAGATGACAATTGTCTCTTTCTACTGGCAGCATTCGGGATTGGTAGCATGATTTATTGTTGTCTGGAGGTGGCACATGGAGTGGTGAAGTACCAAAATTACCCCTGTGACCAAACTGGACAACAAATAAAAATACTACTCCCAGCATGTCGCGCAATTCTCACACTTGGTCAAGTGCACTTCATGCTCTTCCATAACAAGGTAAGCATTTTTTATATTTTTTTGAGAAAAAAGAATGGTTTTATATTTTAAAACAAAGTTGAGGCAAGATCAGTTACATGAAATTAAGAGCAAGATCAAGTACAAGATTCATACAAACAGTGAACAAAAGTTTTTTGTTTTATTTTGAAAATTCAGATTTATAATTACAGAGAGTAAAATATTTTTTTTCATTTGAATGTCAAAATTCAGATTTATTCATGAAAAAGAAAACAAAACTATTTTGTTTTACAGTCAAAATTCACTCAAGAGTTAATTCAACTCGATTTATCACATTTTTAAAGTATATAGGCACTAAAAACTGCAGCATATTTAAAGAAATATACTTTAAAATACATAATTAATCACATAGTTATCTTCATCAGCAAATTGGTTTAACTGCTCATAGACAGATAATACATCTTCATCAAAGACATTAACTCTCTCATTTGCCACGGGAGCAGGAGCAGGAGCAGGCACATGAGGTAGTTGAGGAGGATCAGTAATTGCTTTATCCAAAATAATTCGATAGTTTTCAAACTCTCTGCAACATGACAAATACATTAGTATCAATACAATCATAATTTTATTGGAAGAAGAAAATCTTTAACATATGAACATACTCTTTTTGGATTTTCTCTACTATGCTGGAATATCTTTTCTTTGCAATGTTGAAATTGCGATTTGCGGCAACATTATTATGATTGGGATACTTAAAAAACACTCCGGCTACTAGATTAACATGTGAGCTCTGAGGGGCAAGTTTCAGAGCTTTGTCAATACACTTGTCAGCCAAGCGAGTCTCTCTGACAGGGTAGGAATAAGCCAAAAGTCCAGATGCACACATTAAGTTGACATATGCAGAATTAGGCCAATTCTCTAAAGCAGTTCTGAAAGGGGAAAAAAGGTAGTAATTAAAACTTAAATGTCTACAGTAAAACTTACCCCTTATAAAATAGAATTTATAAAATAGACTTACTTATAAAGTCCTGTTGCTTTGTCTCTCACTTCAGAAGGGCCCTTCACATTTTTAACTGAGTCATGAAGACAAGCTGCAAGCCCTATGCAGTGTGATGGCACATGCTCATCATAAAAATGGGCCATTTCAAAACTTTGCTGTTCCTTAGGAAGTACCGGAGAGGATTGACAGGTAGAAAGTCTTTCATATCGTAGGATTTGTCCTTTAAGGTAGTGCCAGTGGCCCTCATGCTCATTGTTTTTGATGGCTTCAAGGATAACATCCAATGACTTTTTGGTTGCCTTCAAACCATATTCCAGTAGACAGGCAGCATGAATAGCATTTACTCCAGCTCTTTGTCTGGCACCCATAGATTTGTAAAGTTTGATTTCTTTGAGGTAATCTTCAAATGTATCATAGGAATGGTCCTTGGCAATGATGTGTAGCCATGTTGAATAAAGCACATGTTTGATAGATTCCTCATTACGTTTCACCAATGGTGAAGTGGCAATACATTCTGAGTCAGACAAAATGTTTTCGCATTCTACTAAATGATCTCTAGCCACAGAATATTGATGGAAATGATAATTTTCAAAGGCCAATACAAGACGATAAATTATAGACTGCCATTCACAGTCACTGGTTAATAGCTTGTCTTCTAGAGTGTCAATCATCCATTTTGAGTCAACTCTATCAAAACCCCTGTACCAAGTAAATAAGCAATGGTAGCGATCTAAATTAGATTGTTGGGCTGCTCTTCGGGATGCCATTTTTCATCTCCTGTTAAAATAGACAAAAAATAAACCAGTAGTTAGCTGACAGTATACAGATAATTTAAAAGTAAGGCCATCATAAGAAACGCGTTCAATATGTTGGCATAACGAATAACCGGACAAAAGCCTTAAAAAAACACACATCCAATCTGGATCTATGGCCTAGCAACTGATATGACATGGAATCAACAGTCAGGAAACCATGAGGAAACCGTAATAAAGCAAAGTGTCTCCTTCTCCAACCCATCTAAAACCATTGAAATGAAAATGATGCTGATAAATTTTCACCTGTCTGACAAAATTGACGCGAAATCCTCGCGCTGTAGGCCGAAAGCTGCAGGCACCGTCTGATGCCGGTGGCAGGTTAAGGTTGGAGTGTGGAAGAAAACAAAACACAAAAACAAAACAAACAAAATAAGAAAAAACAAAAGACTACCCAGATCGTTTTGCGTTGCCAACTCCAAAGCCTCCTCAAATTTTGGAATTTACATTTAATAACTGGTGATTTAGAGTAAAACATGTATAATACTAACTTCGAAAATGCCTTTTATTTTTCGTTTTTGGAAAGTAGATTTACAGGAAATAAGAGTTCTAAAAATCATGAGTATTACTTTTCATTGGTTGGTGAAAGTGGTTCGACGATATGGCGCGGGAGGCGCGGCATTGTCCCGAAATTTAAACTGTCGCTACTTTGTTCATATCTACAACATGCCGTAGGTGGAAGCTAACATGTTTCCTACTTTCCAGGCTGCTGAAATCCGGCGTCATCCTAGCATCTCTCGGATCGGTTTGGCCCACATGATAGCAACCAACGTCTGTGAGTGGCTCAGCGTTGTTGTGGAGGAGACCCGTCACGAAATCGCCGAGCTCGGCACGGGCGGGCACGTTCTTGCGGACCACGGTAAGTAATACAAGGAAATATACATTACAAAAATCATGGTTCAAAATGAAGAATGGAATTGCCATAAATTGACCCTCCCAATAATATGTAATGGCCTGACATGGCAGATGAGCTGGGTGGGCTGAGAGGAAACTTATCCAGTCCCGACTACAATTCGACGAGGTCTACTCCTCATCCTGCGTGCGAGTCCGTCATCGAGTCCACTGAACAGGACGTGATTGGAAACCTTCTGCTTAGCTCCGGTCCCATCCTTTTCCCCTGCACGATTGAGTACTCTCTCATCTGCGCTGTGATTCTCTTCGAAATGTGGAAACACGTATGTCCAAATAGGAGTGATTTGACTATAAAGAGTGGCGTGGCAAAACGATGATCACCGCGGGTGCAATAACTATAGTGCGACCACGCTAGGAAAGAGCCCGGTGGAGCTAGTGTTGCTGCAGCGGTGGCTCGCCTACCTGCTTCCGGGGGTCCATGCGACAGGGTGGGCGAGTACCCGAGCAGGAGGAGGCAGTAGTTAAGAACTGCTTCCATAAGCCAGGCTCTTTCCTAGCGTGGTCTCAGTATAAATTCGATATCGTACATCCATGTAATTTGCCTGCAATTTAATGGACACCAGGCGGGGAAGTCCGAGGACGAGAGCAGCGCCAGCAGGATGGGCAGTCGGGTGGACCTGAGCACCGGCAGCCGCAACTCCCGCGTGGTGGACCAGACCGAGAACGGCGATGCGACGGACGACGACCTCGACTCGCCCAGCGGCGGCCCGGCGGCCAGGAGCCCACAACACGCGCCCTCCACGATCTCCGGTACGCATCGCCGAACGCAAAATGTTTTCGTCATCTCGCTATACACCATCATCGGGTGTTGGGCGCCGCCGAAACCTTTCCGGTTGACCGACAAACCCCTGAGGTGGTGGGGGCGGGCCGCCAGCTTCGCGCGGCTGCTTGGCGGGTTGGCCTACCCAGCGCATTGCAGGCGCTATCAGCGGCTGACTGCCTGCCAGCCGGGGCCCTGCTCCCTGCTGTGCTGTCAGAGCTGTGTACTTGTTCGCTGCATCGGACCCCGACCACACCGCACTCGGACAGCTTCCATCATCCATTGACTAGCCTCCACAACCTCGTGTCGGAGCTCACTGAACCATGGCAAAGCAAACAACTGTCAAACACCTGATTGGTAGTTTAACCGCTACCCCCCCCCCCTTTCCTCCCCCTCATGACGTCCGAACTTCTTTAATTATCTGTCAATTATGTGACCCTATAGGCACCGGGACCGGGGGGACGGGCACACTGCCGAGGCGCACGGCGCTGCACCTGTCCGTCGACCTGACGCACTCGCAGCGCGGCATGTTCCTGGGCATCGTGCTGGCCGTGGCCACCATCATGTCGCTGGTGCTGTTCTTCGCGCTGGGCGAGGCGGACGGCTACCAGCGCGCTGCGCACATGCTCGTCTCCTACGTGGAGGGCGGCCTGCACGTGGCCGTCATCCTGGCCGTGACCACGGCCGCGTACAGCATGCGCCGGCTCGGCGTCGACCGTGGTAAGGCGTCGCTACATCGGCCCCCTCCCCCTCCCCCCGGCCTTCGGCCACACTCATTGGTCATTCCCCGTTGCAGTGCCGTTTCACCCCCTGCCCCTCGACATGTTCCTGCTCTTCGTGGCTCAGACGGGCGCCTACCTCTACTCCATCTTCTCCATCGTGGGCGCCTGCATGATCATGCTCAAGTCCAACGAGGACCCCACGCGGAGCACGGCGGCTCTACGCATCCTCGTCGTGGAGGTGAGTGAGTGGACTTGTGCAAGGGGGGGGGGGGACCTTCCTGGCCCCAACAGAAATGTCCCAACATTGGTGTGTTGTCGATATCTGAGGCATAACGCCATCAGTCTGGCTCCTAGCCAGCAGTTCT